GTTGACTCACTTAAATTAAAAAAAAAATTAAGTAAAATAAAAATTATTGAACTTTATAAAAAATATATATTATGATCTTATATTTTAGAATTACAACTACGTTAACAAATAGGACAAATAAAATGTCAAAAAAAAATTAGATATCTTATCAATTTGTAAAACCAAAGTTGTTACATAAAATATTGACAAATAATATCAAATTGACTCTAATTATCATAATTCACAATTAATATGTATAAAATTTAATCAATAATATAAATGTATAATCACATAAATTAATATTTAAAAACATAAAATAAAAAATAAAAATAAAAATATATATATATATATAGGTGAGCCAACCCGACTTACCATGAGTTGGTTCGTGGTAAGTCAAGTTAAATTTTTCTTATAACTAAAATTGTCCAAAATTTTCTAATCCAATTCGACTAAAATTTGTGATGAGTCGAGTTTACTCACAAATTTTAACTCATTTTAACAGCTATACATAAACTTGATAATGATTATTCATATTAACTTTATGAGAACTTCATAAAAAAAAAACACAAAGTTTTAGTTAAATTAACTGCTGAAACTTGTATAAAAATTCATAAAAAATTATTTAATAAAAATTTATATTTAAATATTTTATTTTCACTTGTAATAAATATCAATCAAGTTAATATGGATTAATAAAAGCACACGTTACAACATAGAAGTCTAAGATAACACAGAAGAACAAGCAAAGAAGCACGTAGTTGTTTTTATAGTAAATTACATTACTTTTATCTTAATTTTTTTAAGATTCAATTTGGTAATTTAATTTTAAAAAAAATCAATTTAATCTTCCATGTTTATGAAATAACTCAAAGTGATTTTTTTATTAAGTCTATAATAATCAAAATGAAATTTTTTTTTTGGACCTGATCATTAATTTGAAACTTGATAGAAATGGTTATTGATGCAATAAAAGATAAAATTGAACTTATTAAAAAATATAACGAATCAAATCAAACATATTTGAAAAGATAATGAGAGAAAATAAAATTATAATTCAAGCTTTTAGCACAATTCCACAAAGTGGTATTAGAACTAGAATAATCTATAAAAAAATATTAAACGTATTTCAATCAATAATGAATAGGAAAATAAATAAACTCACATATAATTTTGTGAAGTTAATGTTTTATGTGACAACAACAAAAAATTTATTTGCTAAATCACTAATAAAACAACTACATCAAAATCAATCTAGAAAAAAAAAACTCCACATCCTAATAAATGATTAAAATTAGTTAGATAAAAAAATTTACATTCTAATTGTTTACTAAAATTAATTCACAAAAACAATATCGAAGGCTTTATAACCTTATTGGTTTGACATACTTTCTTCAGATGGAATTGGTTGTATTTGTTTTAATACAAGGATTGAATTTGACTTGTTAAAGTCAATCTTATTTATGTTCAATTTGATTCTTTATATTTTTAATTTAATTCAATTTCAGCTTTCTTATTTTAAATAGTTTTAATTTAGTCCTTTGACATATTAGAAATTATGTCAATATGGTAAACTCATTTTTTTAAAACATTAATCGTTAGAAATCTAATTATCATAATTCACAATTAATATGTATAAAATTTAATCAATAATATAAATGTATAATCACATAAATTAATATTTAAAAACATAAAATAAAAAATAAAAATAAAAATATATATATATATATAGGTGAGCCAACCCGACTTACCATGAGTTGGTTCGTGGTAAGTCAAGTTAAATTTTTCTTATAACTAAAATTGTCCAAAATTTTCTAATCCAATTCGACTAAAATTTGTGATGAGTCGAGTTTACTCACAAATTTTAACTCATTTTAACAGCTATACATAAACTTGATAATGATTATTCATATTAACTTTATGAGAACTTCATAAAAAAAAAACACAAAGTTTTAGTTAAATTAACTGCTGAAACTTGTATAAAAATTCATAAAAAATTATTTAATAAAAATTTATATTTAAATATTTTATTTTCACTTGTAATAAATATCAATCAAGTTAATATGGATTAATAAAAGCACACGTTACAACATAGAAGTCTAAGATAACACAGAAGAACAAGCAAAGAAGCACGTAGTTGTTTTTATAGTAAATTACATTACTTTTATCTTAATTTTTTTAAGATTCAATTTGGTAATTTAATTTTAAAAAAAATCAATTTAATCTTCCATGTTTATGAAATAACTCAAAGTGATTTTTTTATTAAGTCTATAATAATCAAAATGAAATTTTTTTTTTGGACCTGATCATTAATTTGAAACTTGATAGAAATGGTTATTGATGCAATAAAAGATAAAATTGAACTTATTAAAAAATATAACGAATCAAATCAAACATATTTGAAAAGATAATGAGAGAAAATAAAATTATAATTCAAGCTTTTAGCACAATTCCACAAAGTGGTATTAGAACTAGAATAATCTATAAAAAAATATTAAACGTATTTCAATCAATAATGAATAGGAAAATAAATAAACTCACATATAATTTTGTGAAGTTAATGTTTTATGTGACAACAACAAAAAATTTATTTGCTAAATCACTAATAAAACAACTACATCAAAATCAATCTAGAAAAAAAAAACTCCACATCCTAATAAATGATTAAAATTAGTTAGATAAAAAAATTTACATTCTAATTGTTTACTAAAATTAATTCACAAAAACAATATCGAAGGCTTTATAACCTTATTGGTTTGACATACTTTCTTCAGATGGAATTGGTTGTATTTGTTTTAATACAAGGATTGAATTTGACTTGTTAAAGTCAATCTTATTTATGTTCAATTTGATTCTTTATATTTTTAATTTAATTCAATTTCAGCTTTCTTATTTTAAATAGTTTTAATTTAGTCCTTTGACATATTAGAAATTATGTCAATATGGTAAACTCATTTTTTTAAAACATTAATCGTTAGAAACTTAGTAGAAACAACTATTTTGAGTTATTTTATAAATATCAACGTATAAATAACATTTCGTATTTTTTGTGAATTATTTTTAAAAAATAAATAATAAAATTATATAATAGTGGATGATTATTAAAAATGCATACGGTTACGAAATGGAATTTATAAATTATTTTATAATTTTATAAAAGGTAATTATAAAAGTAAAAGTGTCCAAAAATATGAACACTAAATAAACAATCCTCTTTATTAATGATATAGATAAAATATCAAATTAAAATTTTTTAAAATTAAAAATTATAATTATTATTTATCCTTATTTTTTTTATAACAAATAACTATTTCATTTGCGTTTAATACTTGTAACGAGAATTTTTATTACATATAAACTAAAGATGATAAAAATATTCATAGCTGCAAATATCTATAAACGAAGTCATAACAAATATAAAATAAATGATAAAATGAGTACTTACAAGTTACAAATAATTTCCTCTAAAAAAAAAAAGTTACAAATAATTTAAATAGCCAGATTTATACTTCATTTAAACTATAAAGGTATTTATTATTGTTTATTCGTGTCAAATCCCTTAGATTTCCTTATTCAAATATAAGTATTTATTTTATTGTAAAATTATTTTACTTATTATTAATTAACAAGATTTTTTTTCACTTTTTTAGTTTTGTTCCATTTAAATAATTTTTAAAATGTTAAAATAATTAAAATTATTATTACAGTATTTTAAAACTGTTTTTAAGTTATTATTGTTTTTTTATTATTATTAAGTAGCTATAGATACCTACCATTACCTACACAAGTACGGATATAAACACGAAACAAGTTTTTATTCGGTAGGGTGGATAACAAGGGACCACCACCTTTGTTTTCTTCATCACTCTTAATAATTTTATTTAACTTAAATAAATTTTCTCTCGTTAAATATACTAATAATTTATATGTAAAATTTGAATAATGTTAACTAATTTGTATTACTCAGGATAATATTGAATTTTCCAACATTATTAAGACTTGTCTTTAATATTGATTTTTTTTAACATATCCTATTATGTTTTTGTTTTTTTAAAAGTATTTAACAAATTTAAAACATTGAAGTGAAAATCTTACATTCACTAAATTGTATTTTTAATTTTTTTATTTTTATAAATTTATGATTTTGGTTCCTTTATTTTAAAATAAAATATTCAATCTTTCTAATTTTAGAAATATAATCCTTTAATTAAATTAATATCTAATAATTATTAAATTTTAAAATTTATTTATATTTAAGTGATATGATATTTAATAACATAATATTTAGAAATAAATAAATTAAAAAACATATAAATAATATACATAAATTAAATGATAATTATTAAACTCCAAGAGTGGTTCAGCGGTAGGGGTTGATTCACGCTTAAACAAAAGGTCAGGAGTTCGAATCCTGCTTTGTGTATTTGGATACTCTAGGAATGAAAAAAAAATATAAACATTAAAAATTCATGAATACTTAATATTATTTAAGTAATTTAATACGTAATAACAGTCATTAATGTATAATTAAAAAGTCATAAGACACTTAAATATAAATTAATGTCAATTCTTTTAATTCATTATTTCTAATTATATCTTTTTTTGTTGTATACATGTTAAACACTTTCGATTTAAATACTTTCGATGTTCTTTAATCAGTAGACTGACAATAATTTCAACCACCAGACGAGTTACATTAATCCTGAATTATTTAAAGATTTAAATGAGTTTATAAAAAGATAGTATATGATTTTGTATGAGAAATGATTGTAAGAAAACCCATTTTTTATTTTAGATGAAAAAGTGAAGAGAAGAGAAAGATGAAGCATTTATGATTGATGAAAGGAAATTGTAATTGTAATGGAGGGGATAAAGAAGGCAATAATAGATATAGTAATAAATAAAGAGTGAAGGGTAAGTGGTTATTGGAAATAATTTTGTAGGTAGCGTTTGGCAAAGCAGGAAAAAGAAAACAAAAAAAATATCCTTGTGGGAAAAGAAAAGCGTTGTATGCTTGTAGCTGATTCGTTAACATGATGGATAGAAGATAGAGAAACGAGAAAGGAGAGAGATATATAACAAACACACCCTTAATCCTTACACCTTAAAACCCTTCACTACTGCGCCAAACCCAATCCTAAAACCTTATCTCTTCTTCTTCTTCAATGGATTCTCAAACCTCTCTTTACCAAATTGACCCCAACTCCGATACCGACTCTGAGAACGATGGCTTTGTTAGCGGCGAAGAGGGCTTCGAGGCCCAGCCCACCAGGCCCATTCTTGTTCACTCTCCTGTCGCCGTTGCCGTTGCCGTTGCTGACTCTTTCCTCGATTCTCCCTCCCAAGATGCTCTCAGGCCCATTGCCAAGGTCACTTACGACGACGACGCTTCCGCTGATGACTCCGACGACGTCGTTTCCGACAAAGCCCCTGACAAGGGGGATTTCAGCGATACTAACGAGGTTTTCGTCGAGGCTTCTGGCGGCGCTGACGATGCTGATGGTGATGGTGATGGTGATGGTGATGGTGGCGGTGTTGTGGATACTTTGCAGGTTAATTTGTTGGGGTCTGGGGTTGCTGTGGTTGGGGATGAGGTGGGGGTTGTGGAGTCTGAGATTAAAGGGTTGGAGGAGGCGGTGCCTTCTGGGGTGAGTCTGGATAATGGTTTTGATGCCATTCAGAAGGTGGATGAGGGTGTTCTTGATGGTCAATTGGGTGCTGAAGATGCTCTTGTGGGGGCTGGTGAGTCTGGTGAAAATGGAAATGGGTTGAAGAGTGACATTGTTGTTCCTCTTGAGGTAGGTGGAGCTTCGGAGGTTGTTGACCAAGATGGGGTAAAGATGGAGGTTGGTGGTGTTGAGAGGGAAATTGGGAGCAGTGTGGAGGTGGAGGAGGTTGCGCCTAATGGTGAGAGGGAGATTGATGGTTCCGTGTTTGATGGGAAAATTGGGAGCGGTGAGGAGGAGGGTGATAAGGAGGTGGAGGTTGGGCAAAATGGTGAGAGGGAGATTGGGAGCCGTGTGGAGGAGGAGGAGGATGAGGAAGTGGAGGATGTTGGTGGTTATGGTGACAGGGAGGTTAATGGTTCCTTGTCGGATGATAAGGGTGATGGAGTGGTGTTTGGGAGCACTGATGCTGCCAATAAGTTCTTGGAGGATTTGGAATTACAGCAACCGGGTGGTGCCGGTGGGAGTTCGCGGGATGATGAGAGGATTGATGGCCAGATTGTTACTGACTCGGAGGAAGAAGAGGAGACTGATGATGAAGGAGATGGCAAGGAGCTGTTTGATACTGCTACATTGGCAGCCCTTTTGAAGGCGGCCTCCGGGGCCGACCAGGACGGCGGCAGTATCACCATAACTTCCCAAGATGGGTCGAGGCTTTTCTCTGTTGAGCGCCCTGCTGGTTTGGGATCATCGCTCCAGTCAGGTAAAGCTGCCATGAGGCCAACTCGTCCTAGTCTTTTTGCTCCTTCCGTTAATAGAGCTAGTGCCATTACTGATAGCAATTTGAGTGAAGAGGAGAAAAAGAAACTGGAGAAATTGCAGGAGATTAGGATTAAATACTTGAGATTGGTTCATAGGCTGGGTTTTACCACAGAAGAATCAATAGCAGCACAGGTGCTGTACCGATTGTCACTTGTTGCAGGGAGGCAAAGTGGTCAAATGTTTAGCCTAGAGGCTGCCAAGGAGACTGCTTCCCAGCTTGAAGCTGAGGGAAGAGATGACTTTGATTTTTCAGTGAATATACTGGTTCTTGGGAAAGCAGGTGTGGGCAAGAGTGCTACCATAAATTCGATTTTCGGGGAGACGAAGACCAGCATTAATGCTTGTGGTCCTGCTACTACTGCTGTGAAAGAAATCGTTGGGGTGGTTGATGGAGTGAAGATAAGGATTTTTGACACACCTGGCCTCAAGTCTTCTGCATTTGAACAAAGTTTCAATGCAAAAGTCCTGTCTGTGGTGAAGAAACTGACTAAAAAGACTCCCCCTGATATTGTCCTCTATGTGGATCGCCTGGACCTGCAAACTAGAGATATGAATGATCTGCCAATGTTAAGATCAATTACTAGTGCCCTGGGTTCTTCAATATGGCGAAACGTTATAGTCACTCTGACCCATGCTGCCTCTGCTCCTCCAGATGGGCCATCAGGTGCCCCATTGAGCTATGATGTTTTTGTTGCTCAAAGATCTCATATAGTTCAGCAAGCAATTGGACAAGCTGTTGGGGACATACGCCTTATGAATCCAAGCTTAATGAATCCAGTTTCTCTTGTTGAAAACCATCCTTCTTGTAGAAAGAATAGAGATGGCCAGAAGGTGCTTCCTAATGGCCAAAGTTGGAGACCTCTCTTGCTGCTCTTATGCTACTCAATGAAGATGCTCTCTGATGCTGGGAATATTTCAAAAACCCAAGAATCATTTGACCACCGCAGGCTGTTTGGTTTTCGTCCTCGCTCCCCACCACTTCCATACTTGTTATCTTGGTTATTGCAGTCACGTACCTACCCAAAACTCCCTGCTGACCAAGGTGGGGCTGACAATGGTGATTCTGATATTGAAATGGCTGATTTATCTGATTCTGATCTTGATGATGATGAGGATGAATATGATCAGCTCCCACCATTTAAGCCTATGAAGAAAGCTCAGGTTGCTAAGCTTACCAGAGAACAGCAGAAAGCATATCTTGAGGAGTATGATTATCGTGTGAAACTACTGCAGAAAAAGCAATGGAGAGAGGAGTTGAGAAGGATGCGAGAGTTGAAGAAAAAAGGTAACAACAATAAAGTAATTGACTATGGTTACATGGAAGAAGATGATCAAGAGAATGGAAGTCCAGCTGCAGTGCCAGTTCCATTGCCTGATATGGCCCTGCCACCATCCTTTGACAGTGACAATCCAGCCTATAGATACCGTTTCTTGGAGCCAACTTCCCAGCTCCTAACCAGGCCAGTCTTGGACAACCATGGTTGGGACCATGATTGTGGTTATGATGGTGTAAACATTGAACACAGTCTAGGCATCATCAACAAATTCCCAGCAGCTGTTACTGTTCAGGTAACAAAGGATAAGAAAGACTTCAGCATCCACTTGGATTCCTCAGTTGCTGCAAAACTAGGAGAGAATGGGTCATCCATGGCAGGTTTTGACATTCAAAACATTGGAAAGCAGCTAGCTTACATTGTTAGAGGAGAGACAAAATTCAAAAATCTCAAGAGAAATAAAACTGCTGCTGGGGTGACTGTGACATTTTTGGGTGAAAATGTGTCTACTGGGCTGAAGGTCGAGGATCAGATTGCTGTGGGGAAACGTCTGGTATTGGTGGGTAGCACAGGGATGGTGAAGTCTCAAACTGATTCTGCTTATGGTGCCAATGTTGAAATACGGCTTAGAGAGGCGGATTTTCCGGTTGGGCAGGACCAGTCTTCACTGAGCCTTTCTCTGGTGAAGTGGAGAGGAGACCTTGCTTTGGGAGCCAATCTTCAGTCCCAAATTTCTCTTGGACGAAGTTATAAGATGGCAGTTCGTGCTGGATTGAACAACAAGCTCAGTGGACAGATTTCTGTGAGAACAAGTAGCTCAGACCAGCTTCAGATTGCCCTTGTTGCTATTCTTCCGATTGCCAAGGCTATCTACAAAAACTTCTGGCCTGGGGCTAGTGAGAATTACTCCATCTATTAAATTGTGTCTTTTGCTTGCGTTACTAGTTAAGGAAGTAGTGTTTACGATCATATCATGTTGCTTCTTTTCACGACCTTCCTATTAAATAATGAGTTTTTTTAGTTTCGTCTAGACTATTAAATCTCCTGCTATATTAGTGCTTTTATGTGCCTGAAAATTGTACTGAAATTGAGATGGAACCTACAGGGAATTGATTCATAATTGTTTTGTTAGCATCTATTTCAATAATGATGATGCCAGATTATGCTGTTATTCCTGATTTTATTCTACTTTGCTACTATAAGTCCTGTTTATGTGAATTTTGGAATCATGTCTGGGCAATGCTTCCTTCTCATCAAGCTAATTGATATCTAAGGGGAAAAAAGATACTGTAGTTGACGAGCCTGTAAAATGTAGGTGGGTCTCATCATAGTTGGGTCTAGCGTGTCAAAACTCAGGTATAGATAGTCAAGTTCCGTAATCTTTACCATTATAGACATTTTCAAATGCACGCAGTGCATAAAAAATGTTACAAGTTAGATTTTTCTTTGTGATAATTAACAATGCTTGTCTATTAACCATTTATTTTAGCATGATTTTGTTCTGCAAATGGACTGAAATGCGATTTGAGGTTTCCATACCAATTGAATTCGTTCAAGTAACATTATTGTATTGGATGCAAGTGTTAAATTTGAAGCTTCAGAGTTATCTATATATTATATATTCTGCGAATCAAAATGAAACGAATGCTGGAAGCGATGGTAGGGAGTTGTCATCTTAACAAGATTATCAGTTTCAAGAAAGACTCAGTATTTCCTGAATTATTCACATAGCTCTTTTCACTCGAGTTTTTTTATTTTATTTTATTTTATTTATATATATAACTCTCGAGTCTTTTATTACTCTAAAGATAAGACCATATGAGAAGTAGAGATGGAACCTGCTTGTTCTAAGATGCCCCACAACTCGATGCTTGCACCCACATAAATAGCATCATATTTTTCTTTCGTTGAGAACCTGACATCAATTATTTTAATACTCACTTGACACCCCATTGTAAAATAGTATATTTTCTTCTCTTATAATGTGACGTTTTATTGTGTGTAGAAGAGTTTAGAAAGATTGATGTCAAAGAAACTCCATATATGAAAGGGTGCACAGGGGTGGGTATACGGACCAGTCCGGCCCGTTTAAGGCCTGGTCCGTAAAACCCGCGTTTTATACAGGCTGGATAAGTCCGGTCTGTAAAATAAATGGACTTATTTTTTAAGTCCGTATCCGGCCCGCCAAAATCCGCGGATAACGGACCGGTCCGCGGGCCTAAATAATAGTTCAAAAAAATAATTTTTTAAAAATAAAAATACATAAAATTAGAAGAAAAAAATATTTTTTATTTATAAGCTAAATTTTATCATACTAAAATTTATCAATAGTTAAAATGGTTTAAAATATTAAATATTAAAATATTAAAATAAAAATAATTACAAATACTTAAATAATAATAGCAAACTTTCAATAATAAAAGCATCAAAATGTCATAAAAATCATTCAAATGACAAATATATACCAACTAAACATAATTTTAATGTCATAATAATTTTAAAAAATTAAATACACAACTTAATATTAAAATCATAATATTTAAAAATATTAAATGTGAAGTCCGCGGACTAGCCCGCGAGCCCGCGGATTAAATCCGCCAAGTCCGCGGACTTAACGGGCCGGGCTCAAAAATTAGACATAATCATACGGATTTGAAAAAAACGAGTCCGTTATCAGCGAAATCCGCGGGCTTACGGACCGGTCCGCGGACCCGGGTCCATCTACCCACCCCTAGGTGCAAGTCATCAAATATACTTGCATAGTCTATAAACGAGTTCGACATATGGCTCATTTACTTTTGTTCAATACTGGCATCATCAGATTTGAAACGTGTGAGAACTTGATTAATAAATTACACAGGCAATTTCAAACAAGATATGATTGTTTATTTCTCGTGTCTAACATTGTTTATCTTTTGTATAAAATTTAGTCAAACAATTAAATTTTAATATTGATTAATTATATTAACGGAAGTCATTTGGGTGTGAAGAAAGGTGAAAGGTAAAATAAAGTGTGGATATTAAAGCTTACTAGAGGCTAAAGTCGAGATCTTAAGAATACGGGTGAAAATAGTTTTCATCAAATAAAACTTAACTTGTATAGGTATGACATAAAGTTTTTTTTTGCCATGGTTTGTTTAGATAGGTTGGGAGGAGAGAAGTATCTGACAAAGAAGTAAGAGAATTCTTTTTTTTAGCCGTTTGGAAAAGTAGAGAAGAAAGAAAAAGAGCAGTGGAACCTATGGTAAAATATATATATATA